GGGTCTGGGTCAGGGCCAGGACCCCTGAGAGCACCAGGAGGAGGGTTCGGGGCGCCATGACCGCCATCCTTGGCGTCTGGGGAGAATCTGAGTCCTGGTGGGAGAGTGGGCCCTTTAGAACCGGGACCGCGGCGACGCTGATTGGCGTCTCTAGAAACCCGACACCCAATGGGAGTGAGAACGGGGTCCGCGTCGTGAGTATTCCGGAAGAAGGACACGACTCAGGTTGTCAGAAGAAGAGAAACTGCGGAGATGGGGAATCCCCATCGCTGGGACTCCCCAATCCATACACCGCCTTCGGTGCCTGAGACCCTGAGAGCCACACCTGGGGCCCTGGGACTTCGCCCTGACCCCGCTCCTCTTGTGCCAAGCGCTCTGTCTCACTGTTTCCCTGAGTCTTGGCCCAGGAGCTGTCTGAGAAACCAGGGAGAACCCCTGGGCATGGGCCCGGTCACTCTCCCTTCACTTTTCATCCCGGAATCTCCATCCCTGAACTGGACTCCCTGCCTCCCACTCCTTACCTATCCCCTTGGACTCTTCTAGAAGAAAACTCACCCCACGGAGCTTTGTGCCAGAGACTGAGCTTACTCTGGGAATGAAGGTATGGAGACTTTTTTTTTTTGGTTGTTGTTGTTTTTTTTTTTTTTTTTAATCTGGAAAAGTTGCGCCTGAGTGCATGAGACAGAATAGAGACCAGTTTGCTGTTTGTTTATTAAATACATTGGGTTGTAGAATCTTGGTAACCCCCGAATGATCAGGAATCTAATCGGTAAAAAATGTGACTTTGGCCCCTTGATTTATAAATGTGTCTAAAAGCGTTACAACAGGACTCACAAAGCTCCTAAATTTCACTTTCGCAAACAATGTATCTGTGACTCCCGCTTGTCGTATTTTAAATGTACCATCATTCTATAGCTCTGAGTTTCTGTGTGAGTCCAGGATATTTCCTCAATATATACTAGCACACTGTGTTACTATATGTTGCAACCAGGAGACATATAGTTTGCAGACTATATGTCCGCAAACAGTACAGACTATTCACCTCACAGTTTCAACTGTTCAATGCAGTCACAATGCCCCTCAGCAGTGCTCATGCACTGCCTGTGTTTAGGAAGTATCCATTTCTAAGTGTTGTGTATATTTTATAGGAACACTTAGTATTTTTAAAACCTGATTAACATAAAAGCAATTAGTTTTTAGGCAGACCCACATAAGGTATTAAAGGCCAACTGCCAAGGACACCCTGCTAGGCTCTGTAGATGGATATATTAAAATCCATAAAACAATGTATTGAAACCTAAGAATTCTG